GGCATGTCCTTCGGTTTTTTGGAGTATGATTGCTTTAAAACGGTACGCCTCTTTTGAGTGAAGGGTCGAGGGAACCATATTGTAACACTAGAAGCACTATTCTGGAAACCACTGGCGAGCAAAAACGTAGATGGTCCCTTGACAAAGAACGTTAGATCGACAGCAGACTGTACGATTATCCGCAGTTGGATATAAGGAAGCCAAGCCATAGCTTACGAAAGCAAACAGATGTCACACTTTAGGTGGTACTAAGTGAATGATCATTGGAAAAGGTATGCAGTGGTTCACCCAGATTGCCTTTAGCCTTGCCAATCAAGCTTAAACGCTTAACGATTTGCGGACAAATGGTCGGTAGTTGTCTGCCAATGCAAAATCGGCATTCTCTAGTATTGCCTCATCAAAGTTTAGGTGTGTGAGGGCCTTGTGCACAAAAGAAGCAGTTAGAAAAGTAGCCCCAATTGAAGTAAATTACAAACTTCGGGGTAGTAGATATCCGTCTGGCGTCAATTGCGAAAGGTGTTGGTGTCAGTAGCGAAACCCAACAGGGAATGGATTGGGTCTGCTGTTATTACACATTGAAAATCAAACGAACGACCATAAATCTGGCTAACATAAGAGTAGCTTTTCAGAGGAGAAACATTTCACGCTCTGCACTAGTGTGATTGAAGGATAGCCTCCCGGCAAACAGAACCAGGAATTATGTGTGACCACTGCACTAATGTCTGTAGATGACAGGCGGCAAGGGCCTCCACACCGGAATCGAAGAGCGTGTGAGGAAAATAAACAGGCCGCCGAGGAACGCAGATGAATATCGAACGTTACTGAAGGACTCGGCAAAGTTGGAACGTGCACTGGACACTGGACACAAAATATACTTTAAAAATGTCAAGGGTTCGAGGCGAGGATTACGGTCCATGCCACATAGATTGATGGCCGGGACGGTAAAAATAGTCAAAAATTTCAGTGTTAACATAATAGAAGGCATGCATTGGCGAGCTTGTGGTGGACAGTTTTGGACCAGTCGAGCTGACATGCGTCCGTGTGCGGGTAGCAGAAAGAGGAGTAGTCATCATTCGAATTGCGCTTAAGCTCACCCACTTTCCCTCTCTCTAATTAAATTGTCGAAACTTCAACCAGCTCCCAAATACCAACGAAATCTACCAGTGAAACTGGCTGGAATCACCAGCTGAAACGCCATGAATTGAAAGATTAAAGAACAAAAGAAACCGAAGGAATTAATCTGGAATTCCCTCAACCCATCAACGCAAGATTGCGGCAACCACACCAACCGAGAGCCGTTAGCTGACACTCAACACTGATCTAGCGGACTACTATGAAGATGCCTTACTGATTGGTTCTCCGTCTGCCTTAAAATTTTATCAGCTTGAAGGCCTGCTTGTTTGGTCTGATGAAGCTTTGTGTCAAAAGCGAAACGTTGCCCAAGGAAAGAATCTGGCGATTGCCCACCAACTCATTCTGAAACTAAGAGCATACAGTCTCTCGTAATGGTACCGTTCAGATGGAAATCAGTATAACAATAACAGTGTGACGACACATATATGTAGTACGGATGATAAATATATCATTGACATCGTGATCAATATTTTCACCGTCTATAGTTGCAGTGTCATCATCACTGTCAGCTGTAATAACCGCGTACTTGTCGTACAGTGATTGTAGCTGCCACAGTTTCGTTCACCGATGATTCGGGGAGGTGGGGTAGGTAGCTACGCATTGGAGGTGGGAGCTGATAAATTAGTGCGTAAATACAGCACTGTCAGTGGACTGTTAAGTGACGGAATCAGGGAGTGAGCTATGCATTGATGGCAATAGCTTAGGTGCATGATTGCTATTGAGGGCGAATGGGCCACGTCTGACAATGTCTCTAAACATTGATGTGGCCCGTCCCCGGGTCCCCGACCGGATAGACGCTAATGACCAGCGTAGGTGAGTTTGCTGGTTATAGCTTTCATACTTCTCTGCCAAGTCATTGTTTGACCGCCTCTGGCTCTCTTCCACCCTTTACGTGGTTGTACGAAAAGAGCTCTTCGAGAAAGTCGGTCGACTGTCGTACGCAGCACGTAACCAAGCCAGCGCAGCCGATTCAGGTTGATCAATTCCTCAACTTTCGGTGCGTTACTTCCTCCGAAAACCATTCAAATTGTTTCAGCATTGCTGATCCGGTGTTCCCGCCAGATTCGGACAATGTTCCGAAGATGTCGATGGTCAAACACTGAAAGTCTTTTGACGTCCTCGGCGAGCGGCGGCCATTTTTCTGATCCATATAGTAATATGGAGTGCACCGCAGCATTGTGAACTCGACCCCTAAACAAGAAGCTGATGTCACGCCTACGCCACAGGTGACGCAGGCTCACGAAGGCTGCTCCGGCCTTCCCGATCCGGATGAAAATATCACCTTTTTGGAGACAACCTGGACTGGTACAGCAACCGGGTGAACAAATTTATCTACTACCTCAATCGGTTCATCCGCAAGCATGAAGCTAGGGTTCGAGCTCACCCAGTCTTGCAGTAACAATTCACACTGTGCAGGTGTGAAGCGCTTGCCAGACCATGAGGCAGAATTATTCAGATTATTTAATATAGTTTGCGTTAGTACGGAGGCAGAATTATTAAGAGCTATGTCGTCTGCGTACTCGCTATCTGTGAGCGGACGCCCCAGGAGCATTTCGACCCCACTGGCATTGGTTTGGTAGTGAGTCTTCCGTGATCGCCCTAATGGTGAAGTTGAAGAAGAAAGGTGGAAGCGGACAGACCTGTCTGACACCACTTGATGTGCTGAAGTCATGTGAGAGCTTCCCATAGACCTTCACACGGCTGCGGGAGTTAGCGTTCAGCACATTAAGGCGTTCTGAGATAAACAACCACGCTCGGGTCTTGTATGCGTGTTTCAAAGACACAGGTAACATCCATTTAACGGTAGTATAATGTCTCAGCAAGCATCGCCTATTTGCCAGTTTGACATAGAGAGAGGTCTATGTAGATAGAATCTCGTGGATTTAGAAAGATGTTATTTTGTTTCTTGTTAGTAGGCAGCAAGGAGCATAAGGCCCAACGGTCAGATAACTAACAGTCAAATGACCAAGCAAATTTTGATTGTGTGGTTGGAAGGGGTTAGGAAGGGATATCGCTGGACACTGAACTGCGCAGGCGTATTATAGTTCCCGGTTGCGCAGGCCGAGGAAAGAAGTTTGGGTGAGGTATCCCACCTTGAACCTTTGACTCAAAAGCCTGACCCACAAGGCAGCGGAGAGTAGGGTTTACTTTGGAGACCATGCCCGGAGCCGGGCCCGGAGTCTGATCTTCTCAGATGCAGGGGGTTTGCCTAACCCTGATGCAGCTGCGTACGGCAGGTGATTTTTGAGCAGCACCAGGCACTTTGGTTTTAAAAGTATTTCGATCGCATTGGTAATGCGCCGGCGGTCACGGTCAACCGTTGGGTGATCGGAGTGTGCGGTTTTTGAGCCCGACCTTTTCCAACCCGTCCTTCCTCATAAGAAGGTAGCATCGCTGGTTCGAATAATATGGACATACTGGAGGAAAAACCTTACTGCCTTCACACTCCTGTCGCAGAGGACAATACGACTTTACCCCCAGACCGCCTCGTAGCACGATCACTCGTAGTACGGGGTCTCGCTACTCTGGGTCTGGCTGCTCCATTTTGGCCCTCCTGGATGGTTTCACCCTGTGGAATGGAGTTCCAGCGGGTGTAGCCAGCGGGATCATTGCAGCACTCAAGCCCGACCACCACGTCAGGTTGCAGCTTTAGGTCGGGATATGTACAGTGTGCAAATTATACACAACTACAAAATGAAACAGGCCACAATTTCTATTTCAATGCAGATTCATCTCGCTGTAATATACTTGCGAATTGGACATATACTTTATCGGGAATGTGACTGTATTGATTAGATACTCCCTGGTTACCTTTTCTCGCAGAGATGAAAGGGTTTCGCATTAAGTCATGGCCTTGTAGCGTAGGTCAATTTCACCCTCAAACTCTCTTCAGTGACCTTATACAAATCGACCCACCTGAAACAAACGGATTGTTCTACATTTGGCTCTTAAGTGAACATTACCGTGATTGGTTCATCATGTGGTGGGTGCATCGAAATATCCCGTAAACATTTGAAAACAAATACCGCGCGGATGTCAGATTAATCCCACGTCGACGAGCAGAGTTCATTGAACATCCCCAGATCTGATCCAGTAACCACTTCAGTGTTATTTTTATAGTCATCATTCCATCAAGTTTTGTTACAAGTATTGCCGAGCACAGCTGTGGATTTCGCCGTTGGACCCTGCCGGCATTTATTTTGCTTAAAAAGAACCCCCCTAGATGTGAGTCCTATCTTTGCAGTTCAATAAAACAAAACACCGTTCAGTGGTAACACTATTCCGGTGCCTAGCTGCCATGCCACCCGAGGAGAAAATGAGGGTTCAAACAATAAACAGGGGCAGTCGATATCTACGTGCTGGGTTCGACACACCAGTCCCCCGGTCAGTAAGTTTACACCCTAAACACTGACTGATCTCGATCTCCACAGCATAACCAAAGCCAAACTCAGAATTCCTCCAGCTTGCTAAATAGAACGGACTTAGTAGAATCGCCCTAGTGTCCCCACCTCCCTAACTTCCCCTATTCCACTATCTACTTGTGTAGTGAGTCATGAATACGTTGCCGTATCCAAAACGCTGGATGACAGGATAGTACTTCACTACGTTGAATTAATACTTCAAATTTTTGATAAGATACCAAGGTACTAAAATAACCTCTATGGAGGTGATCTTCACGTAAGTGTGCACTGCAGTCGCACTGCACTGACTGTGGCGACAACGCTCAAGGTTTTAGCCTCCAACTGATCGATAGCAAAATTCTGTCCAATCAGCCCACACCACATGCTAGTCTATTGGTTGGCTTTCTGATAAAATCGCCGATAGCCGATGCCTCCGTCATTGTTCACCGCGCAGGTTAATCGAAGATGGCCGCTGAGGTGGATATGAGGAGCATCCTGTGTCGTTTTGCGGTTGATTTGTATGAGAAGGTGGCCAATAAAGGTGGTGGTAGGTTTAATCGCACGCTTTAATACGTGCAAAAGCGCATCTGAACAATGTGTTTCTCTCCCCGTTGAGTATCTATACCGCCATCGCAATGACGATGGCCGGATCAGATGGAAACACCAAACAGGAAATCTTAAAAACACTACATCTCTCGGGTTTAACGGCCACAGACCAGCAGCATGAACATATCCGTGCCATTATACATAAATATTTCGAAACACCCACCGGGGTCGAATTATCGTTAGCTAATCGTCTATTTGTGATGCGACCGGTACAAATTCAAGCGGAATACTCTCAGATTCTTCAGAAGAGTTATCGTGCCGATACGGAACTGGTGAGTTGTTTTGGCGTACAATGTCCTACTGAACACTCCTGCTTTGCAGCTGACATCGATGCCAGATGTTGAGAGCAAAAGAAAACACATTAATAACTGGGTGGCGGTAAACACACGTGACAAGATCAAAAATCTACTCCCGCATGGTTGTGTATCTGGCGAGACAGTACTATCCCTAATCAACGCATTATACTTTAGAGGTAAATTACAGCCTAAACGTCTTATTGAATTTGCACAGGCAAATGGCATTCAGAGTTCCTGGATAATCGTTCGTATCCCTGGGAATTCTACTGCTTGGACGGTAAGACGTTCGAGGTGGAAATGATGTATGTGAAAGCTGACTTCCCCTACATACGCTGGGATGTGTGTGACGCACGCGCCATCCGTTTACCTTTCAAAGATAGTGAGTAAGTTATCGAAAAAAAATCATATTTAAGTGGTTATTCACAGGGAACTTAGCTTATGCCAGATAAACTGTGCTTATTCTTGTGTATTTTACTTTTAAAGTAACTTCATAGACATTTAGTCTCGTGATATCGGGTATTTGAGACTTGAACTTTTATCACGCGACAGCTGGCAGTATTTATCATCCCACTTTCCTTATTCACATGTAGATTGGGCGAGTGTTCAAGACTGATTTGCATGTGTTGTGGAGAGAATTGCATCTAGCGGGTGGTTAAGCGGATTTCTGACGTCGGGGAGCTTAGCAGTAGTCAGATGATGTCGCATAGAACATAAATATCCGACTGCGTGATACGAAGCATCATCGATTGTTTGTCCCGATTTCAGCTGGCATATGCTAATTGTGCTACCCAAAGAGAACAAAGGACTCAGAAAAGTGGTTGATCATCTCCGTAAACCAGGAAATCTTGAAGCGTTACTAAAAGCGGATTTTTCGAACCAGGAAATTGCTGTACATCTACCTAAGTTCAAGCTTTCAGAGGGCGATCCAATAGACGTCAAAGAGTTGTTAATTCAGTGTGGGATCCACGATGTATTCGACTCTGCGAAGGCGAATCTGTCGAAAATGTGTACGAATGAACAGTTATTTATATCCGATGCTCTGCACAAGTGCGTTTTGGAGGTGAGCGATCTGTTGTCCATGTTTTTTCTTGTTTTTCTTGTTCTATAGCTGCTACACAATTGTCTGCCGATTTACTTTCACTCTTTCATACCATTACCAGTACCTCAAGTTAAACCAGTCAAGTATTTCAGTTAGTGTTACCTTGCTGAACTAAACCTAGCCGAATTTAACATTTACACACGCAGAACAGTTTCGTAGAATGTACCAACATTCAATTTTGCTCTCCTTGCACCTTGGATCACCTACTGACAGTCTGTGATGTTATTTGTAAACGTCATTGAAACTTGATAAACGCAGGGTATAAGCTACAATCGATCTTGACAGCTTTTCACGAGTAGCGTTGTAAGCCTGGTGAGATGATTTCTCGTTCTTTTACATCCTGGCTTTTGGCGATACACTTAAGAACCCTTGACAGGCAAGTCTGGAATACTCAAACCAATGTCAACGTTCTAGTGATCTGGTGTATTTATGTGCACTGTCTCTCGAAAGGATGATGTATCGAAGCAAACTGCAAGTACAGCATAAGGTCGACGGAAACCCGGCAACTTTGCCTACCTGATGAGCCCCAAGAAGGGCAAAACCGGTCGTGGGCTGTCGAAGAGTTTTCAGCAACCTTGTGAGTAGTTTCCTCTATGAAAACTGATACGTGTTTTTTTCGTTAGAACACTTGAGGGAAAGCACCGCTAAATGTTTTTCATTAAAAGTATAGATAGAAGGACACGCTTTAATAAGCGAATAACAAACATCAAACCGTCAATTATTAGTTTTCAGCTAGGCCCTATCATGAAACTCTTCCTTATCATTTCATTCTGCTTAGAACAACTCTTTCATAAGAGATTAGTTCATGCCACAGTCACCTCAGAAAAATATTTTTGTCGAAATCAAAGTCGTACGAGCGATCCGATTTTAGGTAATTTAATTACTGTCAGAAGCGTACAATTTGTTTGTGTAACAGCGGTCCATGTGCATTAGCTCATCCCCGGTGGGACATGGTGCTTGATTATTGCGAATCTGATAATGTGATGGCTGAGATTTTAGTCTTGTGCAATCACGTGACGCCATTGAAGACCGGACACACACGGGGGTTTAGTTTGTGGTCCAGACACCACAGTCTGCAGAGTTGTTGGGATTGCTGAAGCGGATCACTAACACGGATCAATGAGATAATTCTAATGAGGATCTCTCAAGTTTGATCGAGAATAAACAACTGGATCTGGGCGTAAGTGGAAAATGCGTAAAACACCACACTGTAAGGTATATGTCAAGCGGGTAATTCCGACATCTTATTACAATAAAAGAACCACGAATGCTGGATAACCACCTAAAGTTACCCATGACCAGGAGACTATTTCCCACGGAAAATCCATAATGCAAAGTACTGTGACAGCATCCCTGTTTTACCGGTGCCACGTGTACATTCTGTTGCAAGACTGTCAACTCTTGAGTCAACTCTTTAATCCGATAGGGCTTCAAAGTCCCTTACAGCAATTCCAGGAACATTGAATGAGACATTATCGCGCTGGTGTATGTCCCTCCCTCAATAAACCCGAAAGCTGATAAAAATTAATAACTTTTTGTAGTCACAGGCCGATATGAACCTGTATTTCACCATTCTTTCATTCAACTAACTCGTGGACCCTCGCATGGGATTCAGCCCGGGTGCTCAGAATTTCATTGGATGACTGAACACAAAGCCACACTAAGCTTTTCATTTTCAATAGGGCTCATCTGTGGGCAAATAGGATCCCGTCTTGTAACACTTCATTAGATAGTCTGGGTAGCACACGTCCACAACGATCTGCCACTAGTGCTCATTTCGACGTGAACAGTGAGATTCTTTTTCTAACCAAATTCTGGTGTGGCTCTGTCACTTACGAATACCTACCAATCAGTGATGCTGACAAATCGGTTACGCCCACATTGTGAGCTACAATATAAGCCAAAATCCTCGTGTTTCGTGACCCGACTGGCTATTTCCATAATAAATAGGAGATATCTATTGATTCTTCCTGTATTTCACCATTCTTTCATTCAACTAACTCGTGAACCCTCGCATGGGATTCAGCCCGGGTGCTCAGAATTTCATTGGATGACTGAACACAAAGCCACATTGAGCTTTTCATCCTCAATTGGGCTCATCTGTGGGCAAATAAGATCCCGTCTTGTAACACTTCATTGGATAGTCTGGGTAGCACATGTCCTCATCGATCTGCCACACGTGCTCATTTCGACGTGAACAGTGAGGTTCTTTTTCTAACCAAATTCTGGTGTGGATTTGTCACTTACGAATACCTACCAATCAATGATGCTGACAAATCGGTTACGCCCACATTGTGAGCTACAATATCAGCCAAAATCCTCTTGTAACCGAATGTTTCGTGGCCCGACTGGCTATTCCCACAAGAAATAAGAGACATCTGTTGATTCTCCTCCTCTCAACGCGATTTCCCGTTCCTTGTTGTTTCCGTTTTGTCCCGTGCCGCCTTTCTTGTTTTGACGCAAACCGCCCTTTGACCTTGTTATCGCAAGTCTTGTTTAAATCAATACATTGGTATCGTTATCTTGTGACCACCTTGCCTTGAGTCGCTGTTAAATTTTAGAGCCCATTTGGAATGAGCAGTTTCGCAACCGGTGTATAGAAGCTGGCGTAATCCCACGTTTTGAGGTTTATATAATTTTATAATTTTATTATTGTATTCATAGTAACACACTTGTTGATAAACCTCCATTTGAAAGATTATACTTTTTGGGAAGCAGTTAATAACACTGCACCAAAGGGAGGCTAATGTTCCCGCAGACTGACGTAATCCACTACTCATAAGGTTGTTAAAACCACTTTGACAGCCGACGACTGGTTTCCCTCTTGTTATGGCTTATCAGGTAGGCACAGTCCCCGAGCTTCCCTCAGCATTGAACCCAAATTGCACGAAGCTCGACTTATACACTCGCATACATCTGGTATTCTTGAAGACATCATAAACAAGAGATTCAGCAGGGTTTTAGGTGAGTCCCTCGTCAAACCTAAAATAAAATACAGATGATTGTATAGTTTGAATTCCTGCGGTCAGTTTTGTAGGGCTGTTTCCAACTGCCCAGGCTTTCGGCCGTTTCACTTCATTAACAATGCTTTGGGACGAACAGAAAAGCGTATCGAGTAAGGTAAACAAACAACTTATAGTTTTTTCTATGGTTTACGATAGAGGAATGCACCCAGTCTTTACCGTAAGTCCTTGTAGTTGAAATGGATCGAAGTCTTTTTATTTTAGGGATGCTCTCGTACATCGTACGGCAGTGAGGCATCGATGCCAAAACCAATGTTGCTATCTTGGATGATGATGATGATGTTGATGATGATAATGATGGTGATGATCAGGTGTAAGGATGACCAGTACTTGCTGTACAGGGTGAAATAAATTATAAACAAACTTACAAGTTATGCAGTTTAATGTTTATTCACTCAGGCATCCAAATACTCTACACTTCTGCATGTCTTCACTCAGGTCGACGAAGAGGGGGCAACTGCTGCGGCCGCCACTGGTATGGTTGCAAACTACTGCTCTCTTCAAGTAAACCCACCTTTTGTGGTAGATCACCCGTTTTTCATATCTCTTGTCTGTGATACAATGGTTCCGGTCTTTGTTGGACACGTGGCGAAACCGGAAATTCCGTGAAGGTCAACTATTATTCTGATACTGACCTGCTTTTCATCGCACGATTCATTTTTGACTGCTTTGTTTCTAACATTTTATCAATTCATGGCAACCGCAATTTGTCATAATTGTGATAACCCTAAATGGCATATGAAATTACACAAGGAATATAAATTTCGGCCTATGATTCACCTTGTTTGGTTACCTTACTCTTGACCACTCCGAAGAGACAGAACCTTATACTGCGTCATTTAGGCCCACGCATTTTCCAATCACCCGGATGCTGTTAATTCCCACGCAAGCTAGAACTTGATACTGCTGACGTCTCGCTTCTCCTACTTCACCTAACCGAACAATATTCTTTTCATTGAGGTCGCATCGCTAATACCTACGAGTCTCCCAATCATAGCGACGGCCCCTGCGCGTCCGTTCGTTGTAACGGCTTCAGACACCGAAACATCAATTCTTCGAAACTCTGCGCTTTTGCGGTATCATAGCACCAAGCAATGCGGAAGTCACTTCCGAGTCGTTTTGACTAATGAAAACGTAGGAGGAATTGTTATTTATGTATGAGTGCACAAGCCTCAATCCCGCATATCCATTCGCAGAGGCGCATGTTGCTTTTGAGTTGCGCTGGTGCGGAATTTAGAAGAGGGTGATGACCCATTCAATACAAATACACTCGCACGTTGTCTGTAGCTAACGGTGCCGATTGGGAATTGCGAGCTGTGAGGTGCGGAACAAAACGTTCCTTTCCGGTTGCTCAGGATCGAGGATAAACTTAGGCGCTTGTGGTGCTGCGAGCATCAGTTCGACCGTTACTTAACATCCGGGGAAGATAAGCACAAGATTTCTAACTTTTCCAAATTCAGTGACGCAAAGAGGAGCTCGGTTGCCGTAATAACATGAACGGAGAAACCGAGAAGGGATATTTACACCAATGGTATGAACTGCCACAGAGAGTTTGTAAGCTTTTTCTAGGATCGTCCCAGCCTTTGTGTTGTCGAGTTGCTTTCCTACACGATATCTACTGATGGTGACTTCATGTAATAGGGCACCACTTTGTCATCTGATGTACGGAGATCCTTGTTCCTCCTCAGCGCTGTGTAAGCGAATGTAGTTACACTCACCTGAATCAGGGATGGTTCAGCATGGAAGCATGCGGATGTTCCTTGCACCAGTTTATTGTCTGTCTTGCCATTTCCAGGAATCAGTTAGGCCAGCCTCCCCTTAGAACGTGGTTTATAGCCGAAAACCAAATAGAGCTGATCATCGTAAGGTAGTGATCCCGCGTTCCATAAATGCTTTACATTTTCGTCCAAAACCTCAGTTTTACACCGAAAATCTACGCAAAAGTTTTCCGGTGACAAACCATATTATCCGCTTGCATCACTCTAGCTATCGCAGTCAAATTTCTGACCAGTTCTTTTAGAAGTAGACGTACAGTAGGCAAGGGTGTCAGCGGTTGAGTAGCCCATTTTACGAGCCAGTATAACGTTGCTTGCCAGTTTTCCCTACCACTGGCCTCGCACTCACCCCTTTCCGACCATTTGTTCTGGACACACACGACCAATCTAAGTGCTCCCAGGCCCACACGCACACTGCTGAAGCGTCTGGATGGACACCGGCTGCACCGCTTTAAATCGCTCCTGTGCGCTGCCGAGTGGATCAGCAGTCCAGTCAGTCTGGCGTATCACCCACACATGGGGTAGGGATTAGGTGACATCTTGAATTCTGTCAATTTCAATCGTAGGAGGATGTCTTCGCCTTGTTTCAGTCACAGTCCCCCTCATGGACCTGAAACGCACGAAAACAGGTGACTGTCACTGTGACTACCCTTTGGTCTTTGCGACTTGAAACACTAAGTAACTGGGTTTACAGAGTCAATCGACTCTAGCATTCATTTATTCTAGTCATGAGATGAAATTCAGGTGTCGCCGTCAAACCTATCTGTGATTGACTTTGACTACACTGGTTCAATGTATTGCGAAACGGTTTACCGAAGAAAAAACTGTGTTTGAGTCCGCCAAAGTGTTGTCAAAGT